TACAAGACAGGGAAAGGGAAGCGGGCACGGCAAGAGTAAGCCCCGTTCTGTTGGTGGGTGGTAACCCCACTGACCACATGCCTGTGCTGCACCTACTTTCCTCCCGCTCCTGCCCCTGGCGCCGGCCATACAGCCAGCAGCAGAGCTCAGGGCAGCCACAGAAAATTTCCACAGCTGCCCATCTCAGCCCACAGCTGCCCGAAGCAACTGTCAGGGGAGGGAATGCGGGGGGTTCTGCCCTTTCGGGCGGGTACTTTCTACCAGGTCGGTCGGGGACTTTCGCACGGCACTCCTCACAATGACAGCTCAGCATGCGTGAGGCATCGCTACAGTCACACCGAAGTGCGACTGTCACGAGCCCAGGATGAGGGGCAGGCCAGAGAGTGGCCGCCGCCCGCTAGCACCCCAATATAATCACGCTGCTCTGAATGGGATTGGCCGAGTGTGGTCCTTCGCCGGGCCCGCTGAACCTTCCTCCTGTTATAATTCTCCTCTTCTCTCCACTCCAATCCGCTCCTCCACTCCCTCCACTTGCCACCCTCCATACTAAATCCACCTCTTCCTCCCTTTTTCCTGTTAGACCTGCTCCTTCAACGCAAATTGCCAACTCAACTCAACTCAGCCCTCACCTCCGCTCAAAACAGTGCACCTAAAGGTGCACCATGAATCTGCTATCTGGCCTATTTACAGCTAATTTGAATTATACCATCTCCAGCTCTCCTTGGAATCTTACAAACTGCTAAACGCTCCCTCCTCTCCTCTTTCTCCCCTCCTTTCCCTGCCATTCTCTACTCTCCACTCCCCTCTCCGCCCCGCTCCTCCTTACAGATACTTGTTAAGCCAATCAACGGTTCGCGACCACGCCAGCTCCACGGCCTTTTCGTCGTGACCTGGTAACCCCATCCCCTCTTTTCGCTTCCTCGCCTCTGGCGAAGCGTTCACGAAGGCGTGGCCCTGACCGGGGTAAATGTGCACCTCGTGCGGCACGCCCGCAGCTTCCAGACGCTTCTCCAACGCACGCGCGGTCTGTAGCAGAGTTAGGGGCATAGGTAGGAGACGGAGGATTAAGAGAAGGATTAGGCACTCTTTCGCGAGCAAGTGCCTGTGACAGTTAAAAGGTTGAACGCAGGCAATGTCAAGGTAAACGAATGATGACGGAATGCAAAAAAAATGTTGAAGGGAAGCTAAAGGCAACTCACGTCGACGTCTGAGAAGCCCTTGAAGCCGTCGAGCTCGCCGAAATGCGCCTGCACAGGGACCTTCGCCTTGGCATCCTCCTTAAGAGCTGCCTCGGGAACGCCGTAGAAGGACACGGCTGCGGACACCGCATCGACGTTGATCGCGGCGAGTAGCGTCAACGCGCCGCCCATGCAGAACCCGATCACGCCGACCTGTGGGGAAGGAGAACAGCGACAAAGACTTGTTGGAAAAGAGAGACAAAAAGCGGCTGGCAATCGACAGTAGAGTAGAGTCAACGCGCCACCCATGCAGAATCCGATCACGAAGACCTGTGGGGAACAAGCACGGAAGACACAATGGCAAGGAGGTCGCACGATATAAATGTGGACCAGGAGGCGATTTTGACTCATATACACACATTACAATGCGACAAATAAGTAACGCATGAATGCATAAGAAAATCATAATAATAGTAAACATGTATGACAAGACAAGAAAACAATGGTGTCATTTGTTTCTTCATGCTAATGGAAAAAAAAATACTCGAGATGCTTAATAAGGTTATTACCTTCTTAGAGCCGTGTGCCAGAAGCCATTTGGCGGAGGCACCGATCTCCTTGATGGCAGTCGGCCAATCCAAGCCGTCCATCAGATGCTGCGCCTCAGCGGCCTCAAGAGCCACCTTGCCCTTGTACAGGCTGCAATCGAACGAAGGAGAGATTTAGGGAAGAAAGCAGTAAGGAAATTAAGCGACTAGGGTTGACAATGCTGCACGGCCTGCAAAGCCATCTTGCCCTCATAAAAGCTGCGACGGCAAAGGAACGAGAAAAAATCGCAACCAAGAAACACCTCAGTACTCGTCGAACACATCCGATCTGGCTTCGTCAGATCAGGAATCGCATCTCAAGTTGAAACGAGAATCACTTGAATTAACAACCATCATGTTTATTCGCCACTCACTCGGGGATGAGCGTGCGGAATCCCTTGGCGGCGAGGTTCACAGCGTGGTTCTTGACCTCGAAGTCTACGCCCCACCACTCCTGCACCACCACCACGCCGGGCTTGCCCTCCTCGCCCGCCACGAACGCGTCGAACGTCTGCAGGACATACGCGCACGACCGCCCAAAAATAAATAAACAAATAAAGAACAGCGTGGACCAAACAGAAATTCGGCCTTCCTAAAGCGTGCACGACCGAGTGGATAGGAAAAATGCCCAAATGCCTGACTGACTCAAGATTCACTCCCGAGTATAATTAGTAAATCGCTTGGCTTACCTCGACGCCGTCGCCGCTGATCTGCACCTTCTCCATCGTCGCCATGGTGGGTGGCGGCGGGTCGAGGCGGGCAGGTCAGGTCAGCTCGCTACAGCGCAGAGAACGGGACGGTGCTTGGCACGCGAGGTTCAGGGGTCTCTTTAGAAATGGTGATGAGAGACAAGGAATGGCGAGGAAGATGGAGGATTTTATAGAATCCAGAATATTCTAGAGAGTTTTGAAAATGAATCTCAATCTTTGTCCTACAAACGGATGTGCAGCTCTCATAGCTCAGTTGGTTAGAGCACCCGTTTAGTAAGCGGGAGGTCTTGAGTTCAACTCTCAATGAGAGCACGTTTAATGAACATGGCGATTGCAGTTTTGCCCCTCACTCTAGCTTTCTTAAACCCTCGTATCTCACGAGTTCGTCCGACTGCGGCTCAATGGGATTTTACCCGTTGTACAGCGGTCAATCTGATATCTGCATTGGTTCGGTAGGGTATCGGCAAATACAACACGCCTTTCTTTTTCCTGCCTTAGTTTTATCTCCACCAAGACCCACATAGCATCAGCTCGTCGTAGAGACTGTCGCGTAAAGCACTCCTGTCTTGTCGCTCAGTGTCTATTGGCGATTCTCGAAACATACTTGAACTAGGCTACATCCGCCCAGCCTTGTGCGACGCGGCACTCGCCATTGCCACGATGAAATGCCACGTCGGAGTCGCTGCAGCTCCTTCCGCATTCTCGTTGCGGACAGATTTTTTCGGCAGCCAATCGCTTGACACTTGTAGAAATCGACGACCGATAGACCACGCTGTCACCGTCCAACGCGCGGTGAAGGATAGGATAATAACGGCCGTGATTTCGTCACGTAAGTGCGGCTCGACAGGGAATTTTGTCGCCGGACCCCTGGTTTCCTCCGCCCAGCCCGGACAAGTAGCGTTTTCCGGCGCGCGTTCGCCGCATTTTTCGCCGCGATCGTCGCCGTCGTTGACGGCAGCGCGGAGGAGACACGTGGCAGCTCGCGCGGGCTTGGACGACACGTACTGGATCTCGGTGCTACAGGCCGTGGGAGTCGGTGAGTGCTGCCACGTGTACTCACGCGGGTGGGTGTCTCCTCCGCTTATACTGTAGAGAAAGAGTGGGGAGTGGGTGAGTGCTCGTACCCCTGGAACAACTGTGGGTGGGCGTGTGTGAGTTTCATAAGTCGAGGAAATGCAGGGATATACAGGCCGTGGGAATGGATCATGGAGTGGGTGAGTTTCATAAGTCGAGGAAATGCAGGGATATACAGGCCGTGGGAATGGATCATGGAGTGGGTGAGTTGTATCAAGTTGATGATGTATGGTCGCTTCGCTGCAGTGGGTGTGAGTCATGGAACCCGTAATGGGTGGCTGGCAGATAGTTCAATTGGTGAGCTCGATTTTGACGAGGAAATGCAGGGGGTTTGCAGGCTGTAGGAGTTGGTGAGTTGTATCAAGTTTGATGATGTATGATCGCTGCAGTGGGTGAGAGTCATGGAACCGCGATAGGTGGCTGGCAGGTAGTTCAATCAGGTGAGATTGATAAGACTCAATTAGGAAATGCAGGGCTTGCAGTGTGTGGGAGCAGGTGATTTGTATCAAGTTGATGATGTATGGTCGCTGCAGTGGGTTTGTCCTGGAACGCTTGTAGGCTGTGAGAGTGGATAAGTTTGATGGGCCGAGGAATTGCAGGGCTTGCAGGGTGTGAGAGTGGGTGAAAAGTTCAGGATTCTTGGAGTGTCTGAGTTGTGAAAACTATACTTGAACTATAGAAACGTGATGTCATGGGTTGTGGAGTGTACTGGGGATGTTCAATCAGGGTTAAAATCTCAGAAAAAGTTGGGTGTTCAATAGGCTTGATTATTTTGCAAACGCGTGTGGAGTGAATTGCTGGTGTATACACGTGGGTGAGTCCCATAGAGTGAACAGAGTCATTTTAAAGAATGTACGCTCTGGGTGTTCATTATTCCTCTTCCGCTCTTGTCCCTTTCCGTTTCCTCCCGCCTCCCCCATCCCTCTCCCAACACCTCTGTTCGTTATTCATCCGTCTCCTTTTGTTGTTTTCTCGCAGCCCTAGCCACAGGTGGAGTGGGAGTGGGGGTGGGGCTGTTGCTGCGGCTCAAGCTCTGGAATGATGCCAAGAAGGAGGTGAGAGGCTCTTGGAACGATTTTCAAGTCGACTCAAAAGTGGGAGTGGGAGTGGGTTTGTTGCTTCTGGGTCGACTCAAAAGTGAGAGTGGGGGTGTGGGGCTGTTGCTTTTGAGTTGACTGGACAGCAGGAGTGGGTGTGGGGTTGTTGATTTCGTTGGACTCAAAAGTGAGAGTGGGGGTGTGGGGCTGTTGCTTTTGAGTTGACTTGACAGCAGGAGTGGGTGTGGGGTTGTTGATTTTGTTAGACTCAAAAGTGTGAGTGGGGGTGGGGCTGTTGCTTTTGAGTCGACTTAGTAGTGCGGGTGGGAGTGGGGATGTTGCTTTTGAGTCGAATCAAAAGTGGGAGTGGGTGTGGGGTTGTTACGTTTGAGTCGACTCAATAGTGGGATTGGCATGGGACTGTTGCTACGGTTCAAGCTCTGGAATGACGCCAAGAAGGAGGTGAGAGGCTCTTGACATGTTGCATATGGGTGGTTTGTGTATAATAAACTCCATCGATTCAAGCATTGTAATCTGCATCAATTTCAGCTACTTGAATGTGTCATGACGGAGGTGCACGGTCTGGGAAATAGAGAAGAATAAAAGAAGCACAAGAATAAGCACCTTCACATGTTGTATGTCATTCCACACCCTGCTGCCGTTGAGGTCGTGAGAGGGTGGCACGAGGGATGCTGGGAACTGATGGAACTCAGGTTGTATTAGGTTTCATTTTCAGGTGCTGTTTGATAAGGTGTTCGTGTGCATCAACATGAAGGTGTGAGGTTGCTAATGGTGTGTATACAATGCAGTAAGTCAAGGTTCTACAATGTAGCGTAGCAAGCAAAGGCTGCTGGTACAGCAAAAGAGTATGCTCGGAGGTGTTTATTTGGGGACGGAATTTGGGGACATCATAAGTAGTTGTTCAAATGGCTAGGTTTTTTATGTGCGTCGTGTGTTAAAGTCTGCCTCGAAATGGCTTCAAATGCGTAGGCTCCATGAAGATGTGTCCAACTGATATAATGTTACTGTTCTTTGATTACTACTCTGCGATTACTGTTACTATGTGATTACAACGCAGGTTGCTCGTTTGAAGGCGGAGGGGCGGCTGGAGGAGGAGGTAGCATCGGTGCTGCAGCAGATGGCGAAGCAGGAGGGCAGGGAGGGGAGGCGGCAGGTGCAAGCAGAGCAGATTCTCAAGACATCAGTTGACGACGATGCTGACGGTGCTGCTGGTGGGAGTGAGAGCAAGGGTGGTGGTGCTGCTGGGGGAGAGGAGGCGGGGATAGGAAAGGGGGAAGATGGTGAGTCTGGGAGCGGAAGCAGCAAGGCAGCAGAAGCGCCAAAAAGAAACCGGCCTGTTAGAGTGGAGTAGCATGTGCTTGTGGAGGGGTAGCTTTAATGTTGGTGTGTGGTGTGGTGGTGCACTGCTGTGACACATAAAATCTGGATGTAGCACCAGCTCCTTTTAATAATGTTTGAAGGTGTGATCTGTCCTACATTCAATGATGCTATCAACTTGAAGAACATGAATGCATTTAAATCTGAGATCCACCCCATAAATTCAGCCTGGAAAGCTATTTTACTATAACCTCGTGGAATTAGTTTGGGTGTGTAAGGAAATTCCCTTTTCCTTACTTCGCGTCCCTGCTCAACGCGTACATCACTGTAGCACCTCAGTCAGCACCGTTACCACTCGCGACCATCGCATCATTCATCATCCCGCCCTTTTCGCACATCGCATCCCGACCTCACGGCTCGGCTGGTAACCCGCGCTCCGGACCTACGCTTCGACACTTTCCCAACCTCAGTCCCAGGCTCGTCGCGCGACCATTACCGTTACCACTGTAGTTTCGCTATATAATGTTCGCTCATGCCTTCGCTCATTTGTATTCTTGCTTCGATAGTGCAATTCTCGTTCGTTCACTCAATTGCACTCGTAACACTTGGTATTCAGAGCCTACGATCTCATCTCGGACCGCATCCACACCTTCGCTTCCCACTATCTCAATTTTTTGGGGGGGTAGACGTCTCTCAGCGACACAGCACCGCCGCTCGTAGTGCTCTCTCGAAAGCACGCACGGCCACGACCGAGGCTCTCGCTGAGCTTGCCCGACACCCCCGCCATGGCCGATTTCAATCTCGCCACGTTGACGTAGGAGCAACTCGATCGTCTCGTGCGTCAATTAGAGGATTCGGCGCTCGAAATCGCGACTCTCACGGCGGAACGTGACTCCGCCCGTCAACAATCAACGGTGAACGTACCGACGACATCACACGCACCAACCAATGCATCTGCACATTCGGAGGAGCCCATCGTCATCTCATCCGGCACACCAACGCAACACAACAGCACGGGACAGCGCTCAGGCGCAGCCAGTGACGGCGCAGCCCAACCGATGCCCGGCATGGGAGGGAACAGGAGCGCATTAAGCCCACGGGAGCCCCGAGAAGCCCGTCGGCACGTGGAGTTTGCGGCGACAAGTGGCGAGAACGCCATGATGGCCCCAATGCCACTCAAGCCGCAACGCCCGCCCTGCTTCGACCCAAGCCAACGCGGCGGCCCGACAGTTCAATCGTGGGTCTTCACGATGAATGTGTTTTTCGACGCCAACTACGTCGAGTCGGACGCCGCCAAGATCCGGTATGCGGTTTCACTACTCAGGGGCCCCGCCATGGACTGGTGGCGAGTCATTGTGACGTCGCCGCGCGCCTACGAGCCACCGTCGCACGAGGAAGGGCCCTCGGGTCCAGCTGTTACCTGGAGTTCGTTCTGCGAAACCGCCCAATACAGCACGTAGGATGCGTGGTGCGCAGGGCTTCGGGCGCGCTTTGAGCCGATCGCGGCCTCGATTTCGGCGCGTCAGAAACTGCGCACTTGGCGCCAGCTCGGGTCAGTTCAAGACTACACCAGCGGGTTTCTCGCACTTTGCGAACAGGTCGGCTACATGCACGAGGCGGAGCGGGTGGACCGTTACGTCGGAGGGCTGAAGCCGGACATCTCGCACGAGATAATGCTACGCGGGCTCTCGAATTTCAACGAGATCCTCGCGCTCGCCGAGAAAATCGATATCCTACGCCGACCGAGACCGGGGTCCTATTACGGACATCGTCCTCCGGGACCGACCGAGCACGCCACTGTACATGCCGTCGCAGCGAATGCAGCTGCCGCGCCGTTTAGAGGGCGCTGCTTTGCTTGCAACCGGCCGGGCCATCGCAAGAGCGAATGTCCAGAAGAGCTGAGGCGTCGAGGAGCAGAGCAGGGGAAGGAGTCTCGGAGGCAGGGAAACGCCAGCAGTCAGTAGAAGTTGGGCCAACTACTGACGAGACTGCCTGCTCGCCCAACCACACCGACCCTCACCGAGTCACAGTACCGATTCACGCCATCGATCGGGCTCGGATGAATAAGGAGGGTACAGCGACGGATTGCCCGGTACTGATCTACGGGAAAATACAGGGAGCAGCAGTGAAGATCTTCATTGACGGAGGAGCAAGCCACAGCTTAGTTAATACCGCAACCGCACGAAAATTACAGTTAACGCTTAACCGATGTTTACCTGAGATAGATGCACGCTTAGTCGACGGCACGCCCCTGGCCATACGGGAAAAGGTGGAACGCGTAAAAGTCCGCTGCGGGGGGAACTTCGGGTTTACACAGGAAATGCTCGCGACGACACTGGATGGACACGACATTTTATTAGGACGTGATTGGCTGCGACGGTACAACCCACGGATCGACTGGACGACGGGGAGCTGCACAGTGCGAAGTAGTGGTAACTGGGTCGTTCTACCTCGCTGGCAGCCACCCAAATCTTCGACGGTCCAGGTCAACGCCATCATGATGAAACGGGCTGTCGCTGCTGGAGCTGACGTGTACGCAGTGGATATCGCACTCGTAGGAAAAGATGAGCAGCCGAGTGATTTGGAGAAAATGCTGGCAACTGTACCGACCGAACTACAGGCACTACTGAAACAGTTCCCGGGGATATTTCCGGATGATTTACCACAGGGATTGCCACCTCAGCGGGCGCACGACCATAGGATCGAGTTAGAACCGGGGGCACAACCAACTGTACAGCGGCAATTTCGACTGACACAGCCCGAGCTCGACGAGTTAAGGAAGCAGTTAGATTACCTGTTAGAGAAGCAGTTTATCCGACCGAGCTCGTCACCGTTCGCCGCACCGATACTGTTCACACCGAAAAAAGACGGAGGGTTCCGCATGTGCATCGACTACCGAGCGCTTAACAGGGTAACAGTCAAATCGCGATACCCCATCCCCCGCGCCGACAAACTAATCGACCAACTGCGAACAGCACGAGTCTTTTCGAAAATAGATTTACGGGGAGGTTACCATCAGATTCGAGTCGAACCATCGGACTGCGCCAAAACAGCATTTAGGACTAGGTACGGGTCATTCGAGTATACAGTAATGCCATTCGGGCTGACGAACGCGCCTGCGACATTTCAGATGACCATGAACGAGGCGTTTAGACCACTTTTAGATAAATGCGTGATAGTTTACCTGGACGATATTCTAGTTTACAGCCGGGATAAGCAGCAGCACTGAGTGGATCTTGAAGCAGTTTTTAAGGTTTTGGAGGAACATCGGCTACTCACCAAGGGCTCCAAGTGCGAGTTTTTTCGGGACAGGCTAGAGTTTTTGGGTCACGTCATTTCGGAGGCTGGGGTTGAGATTGACCCAAAGAAGCTAGATACGGTAAAAGCGTGGCGCCCCCCGACGAACATCACGGAACTGCAGAGTTTTTTAGGTTTTGTTAATTACGTTCGACGGTTTGTGCCCGACATGGCACGTTTAACAGCCCCACTCACTGATTTACTGCGTAAGGGGGTCGCTTTTACGTGGGGGGAGAAAGAGCATGCTGCCTTCTCTGCCCTGAAAAACGTTCTCTGTTCACCACCCGTTCTACGCATCGCTGATCCCCACCGCCCTTTCGAAGTGGTTACCGACGCAAGTGACATCGCCATCGGAGCTGTACTGTTACAGGACTTCGGCGACGGCCTCCAACCCATCGCCTACGAATCACGCAAACTACATTCGCTTGAGCGAAATTACCCGATACACGACCGCGAAATGCTCGCGATCGTGCACGCATTCAAAGTGTGGCGCTGCTACTTGACCGGCGCAGACGTGACAGTACGGACAGACCATCGATCTCTACAGTACCTCCGCGCACAGCCCCACCTCAACCCACGACAGATTCGATGGCTCGATTTCCTCGAGTCGAATTTTCACTATACGGTCACATACAAAAAAGGAGCCTCGAATATCGCCGACGCACTGACCCGCCCCACTGCCCAGATCCACGCGATACTACTCGCCCAGACCAGCCCGCTACTGACAGGCCTATTTACCCACGGATATCAAACAGACCCGTTCTTTACAGGAGGCAACTCACAGCAATTCGCAGCGGCAACAGGAGTCTATTACGTAAAAGCTGGAACCGACCGCATCTGGGTACCAGGATACACGCTACTGCGGGAACTACTCTTACAGGAAGCACACGACGGAGTTACCTCGGGACATTTCGGGGTAGAAAAAACACGGCAGCAGCTGCAGCGGTACTACTACTGGCTTGAAATGTTGACCGATGTGCAACAACACGTGGCATCGTGCCCCACTTGCCAGCTCATGAAGTCAAGCAGGAAGCGGCCGGCGGGACAATTACAACCCATCCCGCCCCCAGAGCGTGCTTGGCAGCAGGTGACGATGGATTTCGTCACGGGGTTACCAGCTGGGGCGAGTGGGAATGACGCGATCCTGGTCGTCGTCGATCGACTAACGAAGATGGCTCATTTCGCAGCATGCAGGAAATCAATCACAGCCGAGGAAACCGCCCGACTCTTCATCACCACCGTCGTTCGACTGCACGGGATACCCGCATCGATCATCAGCGACAGAGACACGAAATTTACAAGCAACTTCTGGCGGAACCTGTGGCAGCAGTTCGGCACGCGCTTACAGTTCAGTTCATCCTATCACCCCGAAACCGACGGACAGACGGAACGGACAAATCAGACCATGGAGCAGCTGATTCGAGCCACGTGCGACGATCCGAATACGTGGGAACAGCAGCTGCCACTCATCGAGTTTGCATACAATAACGCACCATCAGCCACGACGCAACAGTCGCCGTTTTACTTGAATTACGGACAGGACCCAACAGTACCCATGACACCGAATCCCGACAACCCCGTCCCACGAGCACAACAGTTCGCCGAGATTCTGCAAGCAGCACGGACCAGGGCAGCATAAGCAATCAAAAAATCAAACATCATCGCTAAACGCAACGCCGATCGCCATCGCAGACCCGTTACTTATCAGCCCGACGACCTCTTTTTACTCGACACTCAGAACCTCCGCCTGCCCATCACTCCAAAACTCCGCCCTCGATACTGTGGGCCATTTCGAATCAGTCACATGGTCACGCCAGTCACCGCGCACCTCCTCCTCCCTGCTGACTGGTACGTCAGCCCCTCGTTCCACGTCAGCTTACTTCGCCCTTACGTGCCATCCACCAGCCAACTCCCATGACATCGACCCACCAGCATGACACGACCCCCAACCGAACCAGTCATCACCCCCGACAAGATCCTGAGCCACAGAGTTCGCGACCCTCGAGGAGCCCGAAAAGTGGAGTTTCTGATCCGCTGGAAAGATCGTACCCCCACCGAGGACAATTGGGTTCCCCTGGAGAAAGTTGAAAATCACCCCGTCGTCACCGACTACCTGCGTAGCCGCAATTTCCGAGACATCCACGCGCTTTCATAAGAAGGACCTCCTTAGGAGGGGGGGTAGTGTAAGGAAATTCCTTTTTCCTTACTTCGCGTCCCTTCTCAACGCGTACATCACTGTAGCACCTCAGTCAGCACCGTTACCACTCGCGACCATCGCATCATTCATCATCCCGCCCTTTTCGCACATCGCATCCCGACCTCACGGCTCGGCTGGTAACCCGCGCTCCGGACCTACGCTTCGACACTTTCCCAACCTCAGTCCCAGGCTCGTCGCGCGACCATTACCGTTACCACTGTAGTTTCGCTATATAATGTTCGCTCATGCCTTCGCTCATTTGTATTCTTGCTTCGATAGTGCAATTCTAGTTCGTTCACTCAATTGCACTCGTAACAGGGTGTTACACCAGGATAATTCCAATTGGCACTGATTGGTTGCGAGTCGTGGAAAGCTCGCGTGGCTAATTTTCGCAATCCCGATCATCCCTAGACACCAGTAAGCGCAGAAAGCATCCAGAGGATCAGATGATGAACGCTTGGTTGCATACGGTGCTACGGTATGGTATGTGCTCTAAATTCCCAAGGCCCACCAGCATTGTCGATCCTTCCCTCTATCTCAACTCATCTTCACCATTCGCGAAAATAATTGCCTTCACTTCACCTTTCACTTCGATCCTTTTCTTCAGCTTGTCTGCTCATTTCCTTACCTGGATTCGCCGCAGCTCGTCTGTTGCAAGGCCATAAACTCGGACCTCAGACGAGTCATTGCGAATCCCCCTCTCGTTTGTTCCTCTCCTTGTTGACCCCCCCGTGCTTCGATCGCCAAATAAAGCATCTAGCCGCTGTCTTCCTTTTACGGATTCGTAGAACCCCGTGACTTGTTTCGACACGTATCGAAAGCTACCGAGTGCAGCAGTCGCTGCGAAAATCGTCGATACGCTGACCCTCAGCTGCTTGCGAATCGTGTTTGCGGGTGTAGCCTCGTTTCGCTCGTAATTCGGACGCCTCGTTTTGCTCGTAATTCAGAAGCCGCGTTTCGCAATGCCAGCTCTCGCAGCCATTCTCACGCGAAGCTCGCTCGCGTCTCTCAATTCATGGTTCGTTAAAGACGGATTTGTTACCGATTCAAAACTACAGCTATCAGGCAGATGTCAAAATCGACGGCTGGATGGTCGCCAGACAGAAAATCCATGCTCTCCAGTGATCGTCCGTGCGGCCGGCATGGCGCCATTAGCGCTAGCGGCCGGCACGGCGCATCGTCGTCGGAAATGGCCAGAAGCGCGTCCTCTCGTCGCTGGACGCGTTACACGCAAAGCGCTGGTGCTTATAAAGGAGCTGAAAACGAAGCCGCCTGCTAACGAGGATGAGCTGCATCAGAGGCTCGAAAAGTACGAAATTAGTCGAACTTGATTCATATAACTACATATCACATATTCCTTGTTACGTATAGGTGAATGTGTGCCACGTACGAGTAAATACTTCGTTCCTAAGCCAGTATATACATTTGTGTTGCGTCGCCATCCCCCATCCCCCCTGCCTTCCCCCATCCATCCTGCCTTCCCCCATCCCCCCTGCCTTTTCCCATCGCCTTGCCTTCCCCCATCTCCCCTGCCTTCCCCTATCCCCCCTGCCTTTCCCCATCCCCCCTGCTTTCCCCCATCCCCCCTGCCTTCCCCCATCCCCCCTGCCTTCCCCCATCCCCTCTGCCTTTCCCCATCCCCCGTGCCTTTCCCCATCCCCCCTGCCTTCCCCCATCTCCCCTGCCTTCCCCTATCCCCCCTGCCTTTCCCCATCCCCCCTGCTTTCCCCCATCCCCCCTGCCTTCCCCCATTCCCCCTGCCTTCCCCCATCCCCTCTGCCTTTCCCCATCCCCCGTGCCTTTCCCCATCCCCCCTGCCTTCCCCCATCCCCCCTGCCGTCCCTCTTGTGCATGTCTGCGTTTGTGGCCCACCCACCCCATCCGATCAGCTGGGTGAAGGGCGTGCGGCCGCACCGCCGAGATTTGATCGACTTTTGAGGCGTCTCAAAAGTTTCCCACATCGCTCCTGCCTTTCCCCATCGCCTTGCCTCCCTCTTTCGCCCCTGTCTTCCCCCATCTGATCAGCTGGGTGAAGGGCGTGCGGCCGCACCGCCGAGATCTGATCGACACGATTAAAGAGATGGACACGGCTGATACCAGGGAGCTGCTGTGCCAGGTGGGTGGGTCTGACAGACAATAACGAGGATGCCTGGAAGAATTGTCGTGATTCAATGGATACAATTAAAGAGGTGACACAGCTGATATCCGAGAGCTGCTGTGCCAGGTGGGTGGGTGTGACAGTAACGAGGATACAAATAGGACAAAAGCAAGCAAAGATGATAGTAGTCGTGATGGGTGTGACTACATGTATTCACCCTGCAGAAATCAGGTCTTGGGTGTATCAGGAGTGGGTGTGATGGTAACGAAGGAGGGAGTGGTCATTCTTTTCAATCGACGAATTTTCCAGGCCTTTTGATTCCTCTCTTGTCAGAGGTCAACTCATTCTCACCCCTTTCTGTCATCCCTTAGTCCCTCCCCTCTGGCCCACATTGCTTTTTCGTCCTTGTCATCTTTCCTTTGCCGCAGTTTCACCCTCCCCCTTTTCCCCACGCTGCCGTATCTATATCCCACATGCCTTGCTTGCAGGTCATGCAGTGGTCTCTATCGGAGGAATGGTACGAGGCTGACGCCCGGGACTACACGAAGCTGGTGGAGAGGTTCGGCAAGGACGGGCGGCTGGGGGAGATGGAGCGAGCGTTCACAGGCATGGAGGCGGATGGGATAGCTCCAGATTTGATCTCCTTCTCTGTGAAGATTAACGCTTATGGGCGAGCCAAGGAGGTGTGTATAAGTTTCTCTGTTAATTGAATACCGATTCCCTGTTACGAGTGGGCGTTCACAGGCATGGAGGCGGATGGGATAGCACCAGATTTGACTTCCTTCTTTGTGAAAATCGACGCCTATGGGCGGGCCAAGCAGGTGTGGTTTTCTTGCTGAGTGGGTTCCTGAGTGGTTCGTTCCTGACTGGTTCATTCCTGACTGGTTCGTTCCTGACTGGTTCGTTCCTGACTGGTTCGTTCCTGACTGGTTCGTTCCTGACTGGTTCGTTCCTGACTGGTTCGTTCCTGACTGGTTCGTTCCTGAGGGGGTTTTGATCTGGTGCTTAATCAAGCGGTCGTTCACATCACAGGCATAGAGCCGGATGAGATAGCCCGTAATTTGATATCCTTTTCTGAGGAGATCAGCACGAGTCTAGTTTTGAGGCGCCTCAAAACGAGCCGGATGAAATAGCCCCTGATTTGATTTGATCTCCTTTTCCGAGAAGATCAGCTTGATGGGAGTCCTGAGACGTCTCGACTTTTGAGAATTCTCAAAAGTGCCATAGAGCCGGATGAGATAGCCCCTGATTTGATTTGATCTCCTTTTTGAGAAGATCAGCATGCTGGGAGTCCTGAGACGTCTCAAAACTTGATTTCGTTTTTGTGTGTACGATCAGCAGATGAGCAGATGAGAGTCCTCTTGCGTAGCGCCAGGCGCCAACCCACCCACCCAATCACCCGTGTGTGGCAGGTGGAGAAGGCAGAAGCAGTGGGGAAAGAGATGAGGCTACGAGGCAAAACCCCCGACGCCAAGGCATACACCACCATGATGACCGTCTATGGCAAGGGGGGTCATGAGTGCAATGATCACTAACCCACCCACTCCCCAACCCAACCGTGTGTGGCATTTGGAGAAGGCAGAAGCAGCATGGGAGGAGATGAGGTTAAGAGGCATAAACCCCCGATGCCAAGGCATACACCACCATGATGACCGTCTATGGCAAGGCAAAACAGCTCGACAATTGCTTACTGTGTGCACTGGACTCATATTTACTCTCAACCCTCCCACCTACCCGTCCGCCCGCCCACCCCTGCTATTTATTACAGGTAGAGAAGGCCTAGGCGGCGTGGGAAGAAATGAGGCTGCGTGGCATAACACGCGACTAAGAGGCATACACCACCATGATGACCGTCTATGGCAAGGCGGGGCATGAGAGCACTGTGTGCACTGCTGTATTGTTTACTGCCGTCCACCCACCCCACCCACCAACCCGCCCCTGTGTGGCAGGTGGAGAAGGCAGAAGCAGCGTGGGAGGAAATGCGACCAAGAGGCAAAACCCCCGACGCCAAGGCATACACCACCATGATGACCGTCTATGGCAAGGCGGGCATGACTGCTTGCTTACTGTCTGCACTGGACTCAAATTTGCTCCTAACCCTCCTCCCACCCACCCACCCATCCACCCGTGTATTACAGGTGGAAAAGGCCAAGGCAGCGTGGGAAGAAATGAGGCTACGAGGCATAACCCCCGACGCCAAGGCATACACCACCATGATGACCGTCTATGGGAAGGCAGGGCAGCCAGACAAGGCGGAGCAGCTGCTAGACGCCATGCTCGCTGCTGCCTGCAAGCCCTCTCCTGTCACTCTCTGCTCGCTGGTTACTGCTTATGGGCTGGCCGGTCGCCCTGACGACGCCCAGAGGGTGTTTGACAAAGTGCTGGTGAGTGAGTGGGCTAGAGCGTGTCTTCCAGTGCTGTGTCACTGTGTGCGTGACCAGGCAAGGTGGGGCAGCAGACCACAACTGTGTGTGGCAAGGCAGGGCAGCCATACAAGGCATACACCACCATGATGACCGTCTATGGCAAGGCAGGGCAGCCAGGCAAGGCGGAGCAGCTGCTAGACGCCATGCTCGCTGCTGCCTGCAAGCCCTCTCCTGTCACTCTCTGCTCGCTCGTCATGGCTTATGGGCTGGCCGGTCGCCCTGACGACGCCCAGAGGGTGTTTGACAAACTGCTGGTGAGTGGGCGGCCGAGGTTGTGCTTTCCAGTGTTGTGTGTATGGCGAGGCAGGCAAGGCGGAGCAGCTGTTAGACGCCATGCTCGCTGCTGCCTGCAAGCCCTCCCCGGTCACTCTCTGCTCGCTTTTCACAGCCTTCAGGCTGGCTGGCCGCCCTGATGACGCCCAAAGGGTGTTTGACTAAGTGCTGGTGAGTGGGTGACCGAGGGTAGGTCTTTCGGTGCTGTGTTTGTGACAAGTCGGGACAGACGAGGTAGCCCTCTCAGCCACCTTCAGCCTGAATGGCAGGACAGACGAGGCAGTGGCAGCATTCAAGCGCATGCTGGCTGCGGCGCTGCCCCCTTCTCACCCCTTCCCAATGCTGCAGGCCTTGACGGACATAAAACCGGACTGCCACACATTCACGGCGCTCTCAGCCGCATTCGGCCTGAACGGGCGCACAGACGAGGCGGTGGCGGCGTTCAAGCGCATGCTGGCTGCGGGGCTGGCCCCCCTGACGACCGGTCCGTAGCACGGCTGGTGGAGGCCCACTCTTGATCTCTCCCCCTTGCCCCCTTCATTCCAACCCCTCCCGTCCCCTCCCCTTTCCCACCCCAATGCTGCAGGCCCAGACCGACATTAAACCGGACTGCCATGTATTCACGGCCCTGTCAGCAGCCTTCGGATTGAACGGGCGCACAGACGAGGCAGTAGCAGCGTTCAAGCGCATGCTGGCTGCGGGGCTGGCCCCTGATGACCGCTCTGTGGCCCGGCTGGTGGAGGCCCATGGCAGCATGGACAGGCAGCTGGACCGACAGCTGGCGCTGCTGGCTGGAGGGGTGGAGGGAGGAGCAGAGGGAGGAGCAGCGGGAGGCGAGGAGGGAGGAGAGGAGGGAGGGGAGGGGAGGAGAGGGGAAGAGGGGGTGGGAGTGGGGAGGAGGGAGGCGAGTGAGGAGGAGAAGCTGAGGTGCAGGCAGGCAGTGAAGCTGGTGTTGGAGCTGGAGGGGGCGGGTATCCGGCCAGGCGTGGAGACCTATACGGCTCTCATTTCTTTGTTTGCCAGCCACGGGTTGGGTGAGTCTCTCTTCTCTCCCCTCCACCCGTCTGTCTCTGAGTTGAGGAGGAGAAGCTGAGGTGCAGGCAGGCAGTGAGGCTGGTGTTGGAGCTGGAGAGAGCGGGCATCAGGCCAGGCGTGGAGACCTACACTGCTCTCATCTCACTGTTTGCCAGCCACGGGTTGGGTGAGTATGATTTCCGTCCCTCCACCCCGTCTGTCTCTGGGTTGAGGAGGAGAAGCTGAGGTGCCGGCAGGCATTGAAGCTGGTGCTGGAGTTGGAAGCAGCGGGTTTCTGGCCAGGCGTGGAGACCTACACCGCTCTCATCTCCCACTTTGCGAGCCACGGGTTGGGTGAGACTCATTTCTCTCCCGTTGGCCCGTCTGTCTCTCAGTTGGATCCGCACTCAGTGACTTTTGAGGCGCCTCAAAAGTCGTCTAAGTTCACGCGGTTTTTATATGGGGAACATTTCTCTCCCGTTGGCCCGTCTGTCTGAGTTGGATCCGCACTCTGTGTGCTGGTCTATGTGCACTGGCTCAGTGAATCTGGTGTTGCAGCTGGAAGGAGCGGGCATCAGGACTGGCATGGAGATCTACACTGCATTCATCTCCCTCTCCCCTTCTCGCATCACCACTGCTTCCATCCAAAATCTTTGTCCGGTGCAGTGGGGGAGGTAGCAGAGGTTTTTGAGGAGATGCAGAGGGTGGGGCTACAGCCCCGTTTCCTTGACCACACTGTCTCATCCTGGCATCATCCTTTACTCTCGTTCTTGAATCGCCTTTACATACCACCAACCTTCCCCCCTTTATCCTCATAGTGAGGGAAGCAGCAGAGGTGTTTGAGGAGATGCAGAGGGTGGGGTTGCAGCCCAATGCCAGAACATACACTCGCCTTTTCCAGGCCTACGCGCTGGCAGGGGACTTGGACAGCTGCTCCCAGGTGAGCCGTTTGTGAGAGTTCAAGAAAACGAGCTGCAAAAAGGGTGGGGTTGCAGCCCAACGCCAGGATGTACGCTCGACTCTTCCAGGCCTACGTGCTCGCAGGGGACTTGGACAGCTGCTCCCAGGTGAGCTTTCAGGTGATTTCGGGCAGACATAATTTCAGGTGCTCCCGGGCAAATTTTCAGGTGCTCCCAGGCAAACTTTCAGGTGCTCCCAGAAGAGCTTTCAGGTGTGAGCTCTCGGTTGAGAGTTGTTCCCAGGTGAGCTTTCATGTGCCTTTATTCGCAGATCGATGAGTCACAAGTTACCAAAGCATACACTTGGCAAGCATTTGCGTATCTGCATCCATCCTCAGCTAATTCTGCTCGCATGCTGTCCTTCCCTCCGGGCCTCTGTTGCAGGTGCTGAGTCGATTTTTTAGTTGACTCAAAAATCGACTCAGCACACACGTATCTGCATCCATCCTCAGCTAATTCTGCTCATATGCTGTCCTTCCTTCTGGGCCTTTGTTGCAGGTTCGGAAGACGATGCAGGTGCTGGGGTGGACACTCAACCCACCCATAGTGCGGGGCATGGTTCGTGCACTAGTGGCAGGGGGGCAGGGTGGTGCTGCTGCAGAGCTTGTGAGAGAGGCGGAGGAGGAGGAAGGGGTGGCGGTTGATGGGGATGTGAAGGAAATGGCTCAGTCGCATGCAAGGGAGATGGTGCATTGATGTGAGCTTGGGGGATGGTGCCTTGAAGCGGCAGGGTGCTGCTCAACCCACCCATAGTCCGGGGCATGGTTCGGGCACTGGTGGCAGGATGGCAGGGCAGTGCTGCCCCGAAGTGGGGACTCACTCAGCCCACCCATAGTGCGGGGCATGGTTCGGGCACTGGTGGCAGGACGGCACGGTGGTGCTGCTGCCGAGATGGTTAGAGAGGCGGAGGAGGAGGAAGGGGTGGTGGTTGATGGGGATGTGAAGGAGATGGCTCAGATGCATGCAAGGGAGTTGGTGCACTGATGTGAGATTGAGGGGATGGTGCCTTGGAGTGAGGACTCAAACCACCGATGGACTAGGTAATGGTTCAGACGCTGGTGGCCGGGGGGCAGGCCGGTGCTGCTGCAGACTTAATTAGAGAGGCGGAGGAGGAAGGGGTGGTTGTTGATGGGGATAACGGGATCGTTGCTTGTTGCGCAAAGGGGCAGTAGTGGAGTTGTGTAGGAGAGGGTGTTTTAGCTATGCGAAGGAGGTACACTGGTTGGAGTGTGAGGGAATGGTGCGATGGCGCTATGATTTGACCTGGATATAGTCCGGGAGATGGGTTGGCATGTTGGTGATGGCCGACAGGCGGGCTGATGCTGCTGCGGGGATGCGAAAGTGACTGCTGCAATGAGAGCTTTAGAATAAGGCATACTGCGTGGACGTAGAGCGCCCTTTCTTTTTTACCATACTACTCTAGTCCACCCCCACTAACAAGTTTAGTCATGGGAGTAACCCATTCTGGCATTGTGTCACTTCAAATAGCGATACAAGTATACCGCGTGACCATGCAACACGACGTGTGTTTTTCTCCCATATCTGTTCGTCATACTGCAAAGCAAGCGCTTTGCATCGAGTATTGTGCAGCGCAGCACATCCCCAGCAAAATTCACAAGCCTTGTGGAAATTCCCGCGTGCGAGGTTTTCGCCCGCCCCAGCCAGCCAGACACGCTGGTTCACGGTCACCATGAGAAAGGAAGGAATCACGAAGGTCAGAACACCGACCAAAGTTTTGGCACACCACTTTCGAGCACTTTGATTGGTTAGATGTTGTTGACGGCCGTTTCCTGCGCTCCATATACTTGACGGCGCGGTGACCCCGCTTCTAAGTGGTGTGATCTGGGAAGATGCTGCGGTGCGAGCCGCTTCACGCGAGCCGCATTCTCCACTTGCCGAGACGCATTCGAAATTCCAAAATTCCAATGTTCCACATCCTTCCAGAGGTTTGCATAAATTCGGTCCCCTAGCTTTTCCTCATCAATTTTCTTACATTCTGCTTCCTCACTTCAGTTGCCCTTGGAAATTCTCCTTTGATCCGCTTGTTTGATACCGTTCCAGACACTGCGCCGAATAAGCTTTATATAGATCACCTCGAGTTCATTCTCTTTTAATATTCCGCCGCTATCTCCCGTCTCCGCCTGGCATTATGGCTCCTACTAGGGTGTCTTGCTTCGCCATTCTGTTGCTGGCGGCAGTCTTGGCCATATCTCTCTCACCTTCCGAGGCTGCGCGGAACCGCCCGTACTGCCGCTTCGACGGGAAGCTGGTGGTGAGCAACCTAGTGAAGGATCTCACAGCGGCTGGAAACTACTCGACCTTGATCGCCGCGCTCAAGACGGCAGGTAGGGATCATCCAAAATAGCGTTTTTTTTTTTTTTTTTTTTTTTTTTTTTTTTTTTTTTTTTTTTTTTTTTTTTTTTTCTACAAAAACAGAATCAGCGCGCTCAAGACGACATGTACGGATTATCCATAATAGCCTTGAATTCCCCTGAAAGCCAAGGCCTATCGTTCGTTGGTTGACGAAGAAGCAGTTCGTTCATTGTATCCCATGTAATCTGTTCTTTCAGCGCTCCCACCGATGCGGCGTTTGTCCCTCATCTACCTGACACGCCCATTCCCCTACATCTACACCCCTGCTTTCCACTCGATATTTCAGACCTGGACGAGGACCTTCCCGACCTCTTCAACTGCTACGAGGCGACGCTCTTTGCGCCCACAGACGCGGCGTTCGAGGAGCTCTCGAATGACACGAAGAAGGCGATCAAGGACGACAAGGTGCTGCGCGAGGTGCTGCTGCTGCACGTGGTGCAGAAGAAGTTTACCGCCGCTGAGCTCATGGCCCTCCCGCAAGGGAAGCAGGTGAGACATGATAGTGGGGTTTGCGAGGGGTGTGGGTTGAGTGTGCGACTGGAACAGATAAGGAGCTGCGCGAGGCGCTGCTGCTGCACGTGGTGCAGAAGAAGTTGACCGCTGCTGATTTGATGGCGCTGCCCCAGGGAAAGCAGGTGAGACTGATAGCACCACCAATGGAGTGATCTGATATGATAAAGAAGAAGGGAAGCGGCTTTGGGTGGCTGCCTAGAATGGCTCAACGTGGTATTGCTGCAGTCACATGCCAATTCGTTCCGCATCATCTTGTGACACCATGGTATTCTACTACCTCGCCTAGGAGCGCAACCAACAACCATCCATGCCCCATTGTGTGACCTATCCATCATTGTGAGGATCTGACATCCTCCTACGGCACCCAATCCCTCCCAACCACTCTAAACCCTATTCTCGCCTTCTCTCGTCCCTGATACAGCTCAAGGCAGCGGCAGGCGGGTGCAAGGCTCGTCTGGTGAAGGTGTCACCTCGCGGCGCCAAGCCACTCGAGGTGCAGGCCAAGGACGGCCCGCAGGAAGCTTCCGTGGTGGCCGCTGACGTCATCTCTCTGCGAGTGGTGCAGGTGCATGGGGTGGATGACGTCATCCTGCCCAAGAGCCTACAGAAGGGGGATGGGGACTCTCTCAAGCCCTCCAAGTGCCTCGCCTGGCGTGCCTAGGCATAGCGTAGGCATAGCCGCGGGCTATGCTTGTATCACTGTTCGGTTGGGCGTCTCACAAAAGCGATACAAGCATAGGCGTGGGCTAGGCCAGTCTCCTGGTCCTGATATTCCAATAAGCCTGAGGGCAGTGCAGGGAGGGTGGAGTGGTCATGTTGGAAAGGAAGGTTCTCTGCCTGAGAAACCAGGCTGGAAGGATGGTTCATGGGGGTAAGGTTGGGGTTCCAATCCAGTCTCACCTTCATGCAGCTTTCACTAGCTAGTGTGACTCCGGTGACACTTGCAACTGCTGAAGCAGCATTGCCTCGATGCTGTGCTGGTGGTGGGGAGAAGGCAGGAGTAGAGGGGTTGTTGCAAGACGTGATTTTGTACTGCACACGTGAAGCAAGCAATGTATTGTGTGATTTCAGTCACTGGTGTTGTTGAGTTGACTACTGAAGCAGCATTGTATCAGATGCTGTGTTGGTACGGTACCAGGGAGCGTGGCAGGAGTAGTGGGGTTGATGCAGGACGTGAATGCCTGTGAAGCAATGCACATGTGCAGGAGCCTAGAGCCCTCATGGTGGTACCACCGTTGTGCTTGTGCCTTGCTGTCAGTAGTTACCACATGGTTATTCTGAGATGCCTGGTGAGAGCCATGCATGGAAACTGGATAGAACTTTGGCACAACTGCATTACACTATGGGATGGTATCACATCCCATCCAATGCAACAAACCGCAACAAGCAATAATAGAAGGAAAATGCATCAGCCACCGTGTGGCTAAAATCAGAAGGCAGCAGCAGCCACCACACATGGTACATATGTACCTTCCCCCCTTTCCCATTCCTCGCCTCCCTCCCTGGGCCATTGCAAAAGAGGGCCATTGCAACCCTGCTACCACGAAGCCGTGCTATCACCCCACCCAAACCTGCTTGATGAAAGGCTAGAATAGTCCACCCATCACCACTCCTCTGTAACCCCCCTAACAGCATAGAACGTCCCCGATGCAGCCGCCAGCTAACCAACCAGGAATAACTGTTGGGAACAAACAATCTTAAGCGCCTCTGTCGTGTCGAAACACCAAGGCACAAGCGAAGCAGAGCATATCGAGGCACCAGCGAGTCAACCCTCGGAGGTTGAAGTAACCGCTGGAGGTTACGCGAAAGTCAAAGGTCAGCGACCTTTGACTTGACAAATGCAGCGCGACAGCAAGGACACACAACTGACTCGACATTGAGCAGTTGCCCGAGTCGCACTATATCGAACTGCAACAGCAAAACGGTTTAATTATATCTCTTCGTATTCCCTGTACTCTTATATAAAACTTTCTACTTGCTTGTTTTAATCAACTTACTTTGCCCTCACATACCAGCGCAAGGTGGTTCAAGGACTTCATCTAGACGCTCCCGCTACTACATCACTCTACTCAGAGTTTAACCCTACCAAAGATCCTAAGGGGCACTCAGCCCAACATGGTATGGGAGCTGGTTAGGGTAAAAATTATCTCTCCTCAACACCTAATACACCAAGAGACATGTCTACTAGAAAGGAGAGGAGCTCCTCCAACGGCTCTCCTGGTACTACCCCTACTCCACCTCCTGCCTCTGGCCTACAGATAGAGGAAGGCACAACAACGAGACCGGCAGCTGGGTCTACTGAAACACCCGCAAACCAAGGCGCGGGCTTCGATCTAAGCATGATGGAGAAGTTCTTCTCCTTCATGTCCTTCTACGAGCAGCATCAGCAAGGAGCACCTGCGCAATCAAACAACAGCAACAACAACAACAACGTGACGCCCATGAGTCTTGATGGCTCATCCTACGCACGCGGAAATCAACAACAACAACCTACCTTCGCTCCGTACGAGCCCCAGCGCGGCTCCGTCAGTTTCATGCCACAACCACAACCTGCACCGGGACAAGAGAGAACGCTGGACGCACTACAAGTTCAGTCGCAGTTCGCGCACGTTCTAAAACTGCAAACGACAAAACCCTTCGACGGGAAGGATTTCTTTACCTGGTCGTTCGAATTCGAGCTGATGATGGAAGGAGCGCAAATCGTTGGCTTCTTCGACGGGTCCCTGCCATACCCAACAAACGGCACACAGTATAAGAAGCAGCAGTACACCTATCAATCGATGATGGCGTACACGATACTACTGAGGAACATCACTCCAACTCAACAACAAAACATACGGTCTTACCGAGGCTACGGCAACTCCGCGGAGCTCGCGTACAATCACTTGAAGAGCCTGTATCAAGCAACAGACAGCGTAAACCAAAGTCGGTTAATGGCGCAGCTGACAACAATCGAAATGAAACCAGGCGAGAAGGGAATGGCGTATATCAGTCGCTGCCGCGAGCTGCGCGACAAGCTTCTTCGATGTGGAGGATCGATTTCAGAGGACGCCTTCGTCATGGTTGTCATCGGCGGTCTTGGTCCTCACTGGCGCTCCACTCGCGCCATACTACGAGCCCACGGGAAAATGTCTGAAGCAGCACTTTGCGCCGAAATCCACGCCGAGCAGCAAGACATGGACCTGCAAGAAGAACGACACAAGAGAAAGGTATCAGTGCCCGAATTCGCGTTTCACACGCAACGGCGCCACAACAACAACAACAATCGACCGAAAATCGTACCTCCGTTCTGCCACCTCTGCAAGACTACAGGGCATCTTCGTACGCACTGCCCGAATCGACAACAGTCAACGTCGCCGCAACGCCAACTTCGCCCTTCAAGCAGTCAAGTCGCTTCAACGCAAGCAAATCCGACAACTTCAGTACAAGTCTCAACAACATCGACGGGACAACCTGCGAAAGGAACAAGAAACATCGTCAGCTGCATGGCAAGGCTGAGTGACTCCTGCGTAACTGAGTCACCACCATATTACTCACCAGAAGAACAACTCGACAACAGCACGCCTCGCCGCGAGTCACTTCAACCGAACCCGACGTACTCCGCCATCGCTCAAAGCGAGCCGTCCGGGAAGGATACATGGTTCTTGGATAGTTGTTGCGGATAACATATGTGCTCTTCAGGACGTTTCGTTCAACGCAAGCACCAACTTCAACGAGAAGTCGTCATCACTGTAGCCACATCCTTTTGCTATTAGGACTTGGGAGATTTGCAGTATGACATTCGTCTCTCGTGACTGTCGCCAGTCAGTTGATGGCGAAAGGCATACATCTGGAAGCCGACAGTACCACCCAGGAGTTCAAGCTGTACCACGGGAAGGGCGGCCTCTACATCGGAAAGGCGGTTATGAAGAACAATGTCTTCGTTCGCGATTTCGTCCTAAACTTGGGCACCGCAGACAGTGGCGGGATCGTCACCTTCACATCTTGGACGCACCCGCCGGATCTCGACCCCGACTTCAGTCCGGAAGGCTTTTGGTATTCACATACCATTCCTGAAGCAGAACGAACACGTGCGTTAGTAACAATACAACATTCGGCAGCAGCAGAGACAACATTCGGCAGCAGCAGAGACAACATCGGCAGCAGCAGAGACAACATCGGCAGTAGCAGAGACAACATCGGCAGCAGTAGAGACAACATCGGCAGCAGCAGAGACAACATCGGCAGCAGCAGAGACATCATCGGTAGTAGTAGGAACAACAACAGTAGCAGCAACAACGACACCAGTTCTCGTTGACGAAGCACCACCAACACCCGCACAGCAGCTGAATCCGGCTCAACGGGAAGTCCATAGAAGCGCAAACTTCATCGCCAGCTTCTACTCCAACTCCGACGCGTATCGACGCTCACCCGGACACCGCGCCTCCAAAGACATCTGGCAGGCACGCATGGGACACCCAAGCAACACTGTGTTAAACAACACAATAAGAGCAGGAGTCTTTGACAAAGACTCGTTACTACTACTCGACGGCAGAGAACTTCAACGGGCACGAGGAACATGTCTTACCTGCCCCGAAGCCGACTTACCACATCGGCCGTTCACTTCTCATCACAACCCGAGCGCACCCGCGTACGCACCACTCGAAAAGGTGTATAGCGACATCCTGTACAATCGGGAACCATGACAAGTAATATACTGTCAAACATTATATATGTTATGCTTGTGTAGGCTACAGTGGGTTAGTCTATAGGGGGTACACAATTCTAGGGTTTCCTACTTGTACTCATTTCACTGCTAGTTCATTCATTCCTGTTCGCTTATTCTCACATGGTATAGAGCGGGTCCTTCTAAGGACCGTTTTTTTGGGCCCACCGAAGCGCGCCCCGAGGCGCGATTTTTTTTTAGCGACCCCTCGGGTCGCCTTTTCCCCTGCGGCTCAGCCGCCTCCACTGACGCAGCCCCGCCGCCCTCCCTTACGCGGCCCCGTCGCAGGCTCTCACGCGGCCACGCCGCCGACTCTGTCGCGGCCCCGCCCCGGCCTTTACGCGGCCCCGCTGCCTGCTCTCACGCGGCCCCGCCACGGCTCCTACGCGGCCCCGCCCCGGCCTTCACGCGGCCCCGCCGACGGCTCTGTCGCGGCCCCGCCCAGGCTCTTACGCGGCCCAGCCGCCTACTCTCGCGCGGCCCCGCCCCGGCTCCTACGCGGCCCCGCCGCCGGCTCTCCTACGGCCCCGCCGCCGACTCTCCCGCGGCCCCGCCCCGGCTTTCACGCGGCCCCGCCGACGGCTCTGTCGCGGCCCCGCCCTGGCTCTTCCGTGGCCCCGTCCCGGCTCTTACGCGGCCCCTGCCCCGGCTCTCACGCGGCCCTGCCGCCGGCTCTCTTGCGGCCCCGCCCCGGCTCTCACGTGGCCCCGCCGTCGGCCCTCTCCAGGCCCCGCCGCCGGCTCTCTTACGGCCCCGTCGCCGGCCCTGACGCGGCCCCTGCCCCGGCTCTCAAGCGGCCCCGCCGCCGGCTCTTTTGCGGCCCCGCCGCCGGCTCTGAAACGGCCCCGCCCCGGCTCTGGAGCGGCCTCGCCCCGGCTTTCACGCGTCCCCGCCCCGGCTCTCTCACGCGGCCCCGCCGCCACACCTGCAGCAATCGGGCAGCAGTGCAGCCGAAC